CATTGAACATTTTTTGTAACCTATAGGATTAGTTACTAGAGCTAGGGAAAAATGAGATTAAGAATAAACTGAAGATCATGGTATGATTATAAAAAATTCAACTTTTCCCCCCATGTTTCTCAGCCATTTATTGCAATGAACTAGTGTCAGTTTCACACAGGTGTCCAAGCAGAGTATACAAGTGTAGTTCATCACATTAACTTTGGACATTTTTCACCAGGAACACCACAAGTGTAACAGGGAAACAACCCCAAATTAGCACATAAATTATACGAACAAACAAACAAATAAAGGGAAATTGTGACGTGTGAGAAAAGTCAGTAGGTTTTAATGCTAGTGTAACGGAGCCGACGAGACGTGAGGCGTGAGGATCCATTTGCAAGCTTTTATTTATAAACATGGTCAGAACACAGGCATGGTCAATGGCAAACAGGTATGGTACGGGCAAGACACAAGAATAATCCAAGAGCAGACAAGGATCTCCGATCAGCAAACGACATCCAGAGGGCTAGACAGAGAGAGATAATCCAGGTACACGATAATAGTCCAGGCAGAGGCAAACAGAATCCAAACGGTAAGACGACAGGGCAGTCCAAAAACAAAGGCAGAGATATATACATGGGAAAACAGGCAAGGCAAGACTAGACTAAACTAGGAACTATGAAAAAGACAAAACTATGACAATAAACAGGCTCCGAATAGCAGCTAACACTAGGAGAGTGGAAAACACAGAACAACACTAGAGACCAAACAGGAAATAAACACGGAATGGCTTGGTAAAGTAGCTAACACTTGGCGAGTGAAAAACGCTAGACAATACTCGGTGTTGAATGGTGGTGTGAGACTGATTTATATAGTGTGTGTTATTGGTAGCAGCTGTGTGTGATTGGTTTCAGGTGAGCTTGTGATTAGTGCAATGGAGCATGGGAAATGTAGTCCAGGGTGATGTGTAACAGTCTGTGTGGTGTGAGAGTCAATATAATGGGAGGGCGACCTCTGGTGGCAAGCAGACGGAAGTTCATGGACAGGATTCGTGACAGTTAGTTAATGCAATTTACAAGGTTTGTTCATCACATTAACTTTGGACATGCTCCACTACTTAAAACCAGAACGTATGCCCTACATTTTTTTCATCTTTATGGTAACACTTGAGTCCACTTTAGACATTTTACTAACTTTAAGTAACTTTGCAACTACATGTCAACTAGCAGTCATTAGAGTATTAGTAGACTGTCTGCTTAATATCTGCTAACACTTTATATTGCTGCTCCCCAACTGACAAGACATTCTGACATTCAAAACTGATATTCTACTGACAATAAGAAACTTTGCAAGTACATGTGAACTTGTTCTACTAACCCTAACCATAACCTAACAGTGGACGACAGAGATGTTTTGGAGGTGTTGGGATGATACACTATACTGCAGTGCAGCCTTGTGGAGAAACATAAGCATAATTGGTCAATACACTGAAATATGGCAGACAAGTTTCAGTTTTTGTAAAGTATTTTACATTAAACCATGTGGTGCAATGTAGCTGGTAAACATATATATTTTCTGTTTAACTCACCATTGAATAATCCAAACAGAATTTCCTTCACATGATTTATTTATTTATTTTCTCTTGACGCAGTAGAGATCAGTGAAGAATTGCTCCTGAATTCTGAATCTTTTTCAAATCTAATCAAATCTATAACATTTTATGATGATTTATCAAACATATCTAATAGTTCTATCTACATTACATCAGTTTGTAGTTTTACTAAAGAACCATGAAGCCCTTTGTGCCTTGCACAATATTACAGGTGAAGTTCTTTTTTTATATATATATAAATTCCCTAAAGCTAATTCTCATGTAAGAGTGAGTGCTCATTTAGCTAATTAAATGCTTACCCATTCAGGCACATCGTCCTATTATGGGAAGACGTGATTATTTTCTGCCATTACAGATCTCTGGAGTCACACTCTTGAAGCTGAATTTGACGAGCGCTGCCTTTATCTATGCAGAAGGCTTACGCAAAGCTATGGGAATTTAATAATCAGTGCGCTTTCCTTAATATAAATAGCACAATGACGAGCGGGTCAATAAGCTTTAAGTTTTTTTGCTAATTAACATGCATAACACACTAAGCGTGCTTGAAAGAGCCATATTAATATCACAGAAACAAACACATCTTAAAGAAGCACTTTATACAACCTCCATCCATCACAAATATTCAGAATGTGTCAGTTGACTTTCAAGACGACATAATAGAAGAAAATGTGTAGTTAAATTCTTTAATGATAGGATGAACTACTTGTCTCATGAACCATTGTGACATACAATATATCTTATATTAGATTTAATGCAAAACAGTCAAATTAGTTATGTGGTTCGAAATGTTTCATTGGCGTGAACAATTGCTGTTTAGTTTTTATTTATTTATGCATTTAGCAGAAAAAGCGACTTAGAGTGCATTCAGGCTATACATTTTTTTACCAGTATGTGTGTTCCCTGGGAATCGAACCCACAACCTTTTACGCTGCTCACGCAATGCTCTACCACTGAGCCACAGGAACACTGGAACACATGCACCATTTTTATTTTTCAATAACAGCAATATATTTTAAACATATTCACTAAATATTAATAAATATTTTATATATTCAAATGGTCATTTCACCTTTATGTTGTTATTAATCCACATCAGATTATTTCTTCATTGAACACTAAAGTAAAACAAACAAACAAACACAAACACAAACACAAACAAACAAACAAACAAACAAACACAAACACAAACAAACAAACAAACAAACAAACACAAACAAACAAACAAACAAACAAACAATTATTTGGCAAAACTTAATTTGTGGGCAGTGACTCTGCATGCTAAAAATGAGTTTTCTTGAAAATAAAATTAAATGCTTTGTTTAACCAAACTGAATTAGAATGTTGGTCCTTGGCATTTGAGAATTAATAGCTCTGCTTTTCACAATGAACAAGAATGAACTTCAAAATAAAGGTATGACATAATTAAGGACATGAACTAAAAACATCAAACATAAAATCTAAGCACACCTGACAGTCATTGGTTTCAGGGTACAAAAGAGAGAGAAGAAGATGATTTTACACACTGCTGCAGGGCTCTAAAAAATGCACTCTGATCACTTCTAGATTTACAGTTGTTTGATCCCCCAAATTATGCGACACTGATGTAACGCTCCATCTCTGTAGCTCAGCTTGGGCTTCTTCTGCTCTTTGAGAACATGAAACTACATGCTGACTTCTCAAGGGTTTTTAATTTGAACGAAGTGTAAAAATACCAGGAGGAAACTGATTGCATGCCCTGGAACAAATGTAGTGGAATGACAGCATCTCTGATCATCAACACATTCTCCAAATCTGACAATCATGTGATTCAAAGAAAGTCATTATTCATTGCATTAGGCAAAAAAGATTTTCTGTTCAGCAATGTATTTTGACTTACACTCTAAGACATCACAAACCCTGCTAATGATACTCTTTGAGAAGAGATTTCAATTACGTAACTAGGACCTGCTCAAGTTCATTAGACTATACTAAAGTAGATGTTATGCCATAAGGGCTTATAAAACAGTCTAAAAATAGTCCAGTTGCACCAACTCCAGCCACCATTGTCTGGTTGGGCCAGACAAAATTACAAAAGAAACCTGTCTAGTAACAGGAATAGTTGTGTTGAGAGGAAATTCTAATGTTTTTAATATAAGTTTGTTCTTATATTTTAATCAACACTCTATCTTATCATTCTATCTTAAATGTTATCCTGATTAACCCACCAAACTGTATAACATCACTGGGGCCCCCAGGGGACAAGGTAATGGTGTTACAGGACTAGAAATAAAAAAGAAGTTAAAAAACTGATTAATGATTTTAAGGCTGAACATAACTAGACTTTTAAAAACAATAGAGAGAAAGGAGTGACAATAAAGAGAAAGCTGAGTGGTTAAATTTTAATGTGATTTGTCAATCTTTGATGAAATTCTGTTCTTAACTGTTTTAAATTCATTTTAAACCTCTTAAATCAATTTTTAAATCATTTTTAAATTCCTTGTTTTATTGTTGTGATTATTATTATTATTTTTTTTCATTTATTTTATGTAAAGCACTTTGAATTACCATTGTGTATGAAATGTGCTATATAAATAAACTTGCCTTGCCTTGCCTTTGAAAAAGCTAAATTCTATAGTTTTTGTTGCTTAAGGTAAACTGCACTACATATAGGTCTGCTTAACAAAACCAGCCCAATTGGTACTTAAACTATAGCGTTTCGTGGGAAAATCATTCCAGCGTTCCAGGGGGTTTCAGTATAAAAGCAACACTGAACAGATCAAATTGAATTTCAAATGTAGCCTATAAATGTTCTTTCTTGGTATAAGCTAAACTGATATCAGAATGTCAAATAAAATCATAATGAAGCCATTTTTTGCGCATTTTAATGTGTGTGTGTTTTAAGTAACTTGGTTCCAAGTCAGATATGAGGGACAAAATTAATTCCCCCTTACAATATAAAGCGCTTTATCTGTGTCACAGCCACTATATAAATGTAACTATAATAATATAACGTCATTGATATATATATGAATCTATATGTAGGCTATTATTAAGGCTAATAAAGATTTTTGGTTATTAATCCTTCTCCAACTTTTGATAACACAATGTTCAGGGTATAGCTACATGCTGATTTATCTTAACATTTCAAACATTTGAATCAAATTAATAACAAAATATATTACGACGTTAACGGGCAGTTTAGAAAACGAGTCTTTAGAAGGAAATATTTTTAGAGCGGCCGCTTTGATCCTCGACACTTCATCATGACATCACCATCATCCTGTCAATGGACTCGCGCACAAAACCAGCTCCAGGATTACTTGAATCGTTTGTCATCAGTGAAGAAGAGACGAAACTGTATCAAGTTGACAGGGAGGCAGACTCATCGCTTCTTCTACCCACTGAAGCCTTTTCTTGCTTTTGGATCATGGATGCGTCCCTCTTTCAGTTCTTCATAGAGGAATTCGGCGACACCAACTGTACTCTTATGGATGCTTTTCAGGACACTTTATACGAGAATTCGTCATTCGCGTCGATGAGTGTCGACGGTGAGGATTACAGTCTTTGTTAGCGGTGCATATGTTTTATGCAGCGTTTATAATGCACATTAATCAACACCGGTTGTATTTTCCTCTAAGGTTTCTATTGTAACGCCACCACGGATGAAATCGGAACTTGCTGGCCAAGAAGCAACTCTGGACGAATAATTGAGCGACCGTGTCCGGAGTTCATTAACGGCGTCAAATACAACACCACTAGTAAGTGGCTCCTATTCGCTTTTTATTCATTAAAAACGTCTGAGGATAAGGTTGGTGGATTCATGTGCATAACTGTTAGCCTATTTATCTGTGGGTCAGTCCTTCAGGCAGAGTTAAAATATATAAGAAAGTCGCAAAGTGTGTCAGTGAATTTATAGATATATGTATTGCATAGATTTAATATAGAACATTTGAAGGCTTATAAGATTTCATGGACATGTATAGTTTTTGATATTTTTCTCTCAAAAGCTGTTTATACAATTGTTCTTAAAATAAATGACATGCTATTAATAATTTACGCAATTGTTTGCTCACAAATTCTGCTTCTGCAGACAATGTTATCTGCCCTGCCACATGTTCATAATGGTTTTTATACTGTACAAACCGTATTTTCTATCGCCCTACACCAACCCTACACCTAAACCTATCCCTCATAGAAAACTTTATGCATTTTTACATTCTCAACTCATTCTGTATGATGTATAAGCTTGTTTCCCCATGGGGACCTCAATTTAGTCCCCATGAGTCAGTGTGCATTCAGGTTTAAGTCCCACACACACACACACACATACACACACACACTGTGCATTGCATCCATGCTGACACTGGATGGAAAAGTTGTCTGCTCTTTTGTTATGAAATATGTTGCGTGAAATTTTGTGAGATTTTCCATAAATGTGCAAAATATATGCAATTGTTACTATTACATATTTGTTATCTGAAATCAAAGGACATTTGGAAAATAGTAATACTTCTTAAAATTTAAAACAGTGAATACATTCATTCAGTAAATTCTACCACTATACTATAACAATACAACAGCAGAATCTAACATAGGGTGGCTCAGTTATTTCAAACGTATTTACAGAGCATTTATTGTATGCTATCTTGTACATTATGTACAGGTACTGTTTTACTTGATGTTGATTATACTTTAGAATTAGCAGTTTAAAAAAAACATTAATTCAGTATTATATATAATTTATGGTTAAAATATGTCCTAATAAATCAGCAATAAATGCCTCTGAAAACCATAGGGGCAAATATCACCCCTTAATAAAAAATAATACCTTCTGACACTGTTGTGTATGATTATGCAATTGTCACTCATGCTCATAATTATGTAATCATTACCTCATGATGTTCAGATCATGAAACATTACACTGTAGTTCAAAAGACACGGAGCAGACAAACAGTATTTGATGCAATCTGATCTATATATAATCTCTGTGGCATTAGACATTTTCCAGCTGCAGTTGGTTTTATCACTGCATATTAATATGACTTATGATAAAATCACTGCATGCATATGAATGTGGATTTTGCAAATGTCTCTCGTCTTCTGTAGTAGCTGGCAGTTATGATCACAAATCAGTACTTAGCGGTTTCCTCCTGTGAGCTCGCACAGCATGTAACTTTGTTCAGTGTATTGATGTGACTTTCACATTGGAGGATAATACAGGGCTCCTAGGCAAATTTAAGCCTTTCACTGATGAGGTCTCAATGTATATTTTAAATAGTAAAATGTCTCTCTGTTTGCTCATATATGATTATATTGCAATCTTATTGGCTCTTTACGTCTTTTTATACATATCTTATGCACTGGCATCACTAACCCAGTTTGCCACCTTGATGGCATAGCGCTGTGCCATTAGCATTCTTTTCTGCACAAACATGCCTCCTTTCTGTGATTTATAATTAGGTTTATTATGTGTTTCATTCACAAAGGTCTGCATGCTACGGTTAATGTTTCAGACGTTTATTAAAAAGGATGCTCATGCTCATTTTCTAGCAAACATGGCAGCCAGCAGTAATTCATCAAATGATCAAATGATGGAGAAGAGCATCATAACCAGCAGATAATGTGTTTGTAAGTGTTACCTGATTTACATTATTGCTTTAGTGTAGTGGGTGCTAAAATAAAAAAAACTAAAAACACATGAGAGCAGATGTAAACAATGCTATCACTATTGTTGATAAATTATGAACCACTTATTTTACAAATTTATTGTAGCATCAATATCTCAATACACTTTGGTTGATTATGAACAAATGATAAACAAATCACTAGTAAATGACCAGTCTGTAATATGTTAATGTACTGTATCATTAAGTACTTGTACATTCCCATTAAAAGAACAAAAAAAATGCACATTTTCAACGAATAGTAAATTATTTGTTCAGTCCTGTAGCTCAACCAGTAGAGCATGACACTAGCAACACCAAGATCATGAATAAAGTTTATTGAATGTATGCTGACAAATGTCAAATGTCAAATAAAAGCATTTATTTTTCATGTTCAGTTTAAAAATACAGAAAAAATATTCTGAAAACTTTTTACGCTGTTTGAAGGAGATCCCATAATAATTTAATATGGCTTTACAGTAACATTTTATTTTATGATATGATTCATATTTTTTTGTATACAATGGTTTCTTTGAGTATAAATATGATTATCAGGTGGACACCCAACATAAAGGATATTAAGCTGTTATATATCTATATCTAATCATGTCATGTCAATAAATGGAAAAGTCAGCCAGCTGTTTATTATCACATCAATTATTGTGCCTTTAGTCACAACAGTAATTACGAAACTGAAAAAAGATGAAAATCATTAACAAGACCTTTGTTTCAAAACATATTCGATAGTTTGATTGAGGCTTATTTGCTACATAAATCTATAATATTTAAAAAAAAAACATTAGTTCAAATTAGTGCAGAATTAGGCCTATTGCTTTGTTGCCCACAATTCTGTCAAGAGTCAGCCAACTTTCTACATGCATAATGAAATGCGGATGTTTAAGAAAGTGCTGCGGTGAGTTTTTAGAGCAGAATAAAATCAAATGTGCCTTTTAACCCAGTGCCCCTTTAGCCTTGTTGTACCCTAAACGTGTCTTTAGCTCTATTCAGACAGTAATTGTTTCTCATGTGGACGTCTGTAAAAATAAATTAACATGGCACCTCAGTGATAAAACTCATGGATTCGGATGGCTATTTATTCACAGTGGCGGAGCGAGTTCTATGGTCCTACGAACCCGGGATCGGTTCTTTTTTTCCGCTTCTTTCTTGTTCTTTTTTTATCATCATGTAACGGGGACTCTTTAGGTAGAACCAAGTGTGAGCTTTACTACACAAAAGGCGTAGTCAAACAGGCAAGGTCAATATCCAGCAAACAATGTAATCCTAGGCAGAGGCAAAAGAGTAATCCAAAGGAACAGGCAAGGGTCATAATCCAAGTGAGCAGTCCAAAGTAATAAATAAACAAACAAAACAAAAGAAACAAGGCTATGGCAAATGAAAACGCTTGGTAGAGTCCGCTACAGCAAAACAATACTTCGCAATGTGAATGTGAATGAGTGCAGCTTAAGGCGATCGCCTGCGAGCTCGTACGACAGCAAAAATCGCACCGTGTATGCCCACCTTTAAACAGTCCTTCTAATTGGAAACAGCTGTAGGTGTAATCAGTACTTGGCATGGGGTGTCATGGGAAATGTAGTCCGTGAAACAATGGTACAGGTTAAGGATGGAGTGCCCTCTAGAGGATCTCATGGGCACTCCAGCTGGAGATCCTGACACGTCACTTGAACATAGGAAGGTTTTGTCAAAAATACAACATTCTGGACCAAACAATTTAGCATTTAATAGCCTACTATACAGAAATTGATTAAAGCAATCAAATGTAAAAATAAAGCACTGCATAGACTTCACCATATAAATTAAACATAAATTGATTCATAACAAAGTTATACAATATTCAAGGAAGAGCAGTGAATAATTCTCTCATTTTGTTTTATTGTTTGATTAACAGATGATGACAGACAGCAGCAGGTTTATAAGATGCTGTCACAGAATGCACAGATACTGACTAGCATTCGATTAATTTTCAAACGGTTTATTTTCAATTAAGACATAGCTGACTGTATTTAGTGAAAACTCACCAAGACGGACATTTTTACATATACAAAGCACAAAGTAGCCTATATGTGTCCGTGTTTCAGTCCGTCTCGAATCGCGCACAAGGAAAGCGCTTGGGGAACAGTGTCTCTTCCGCAGCTCAGTGCGATTTTAACTTGTTTTTTAGTATCGAGCAAGAACGAGGAGGAGACTGTATATGACAGTCACGTTACATGATTTGACTGATTTGGATGTTACATAGAAAGGGCGACAGCGCAGCGCATTAAGGAAAGGAACATTCATGTTTTCATAACCTCTGGACAAAATCAAAAACGAAACTAAAATTAAATAATCGTTGAGAGCAAGGGGGCCCTACGCAACCTACATACTTTGTGTATAGGGAGGATCAGCTCTGGGTAAATGTGCACAAAGAGAGAAACAATTTGGCCTTTACACGCTTGTATGTGTATTTATGCACACAGCTACACACATAAATGTATGCACACTCACACAGTATTGGCAATATTGTTGACTTGACTCCACAGACACTATTTGAAGAGAACTGAACTGAGCTGGATGATGACATCACTGAATCAACGATGGACCGACTTTAACTGAAAAACTGACGGTTTTCTATTGTCCTTTTGCATTATCAGCACATGTTTTTTTCTGTTTAACACAGTAAAGCTGCTTTGACACAATCTATATTGAATAAAGCGCTATATAAGGTGACTTGACACAAATATTATAGTATATGTATATTTTTAGTATTATCCAACAGTGTGGTAAATGTGCACAAAGAGAGAAACACTTTTTGCCTATTACACGCAACAACGCTCATGATTGCCCTAAACTCAGTGCTTTTTCCCTCACTGCACCTGTGTGAAAACAGAACTTAAACCATTTCATCTCTAATGCAGCAAGAGCAACCCAATCTCATGGCAATTCGTACATATTTGACAAGGTGGCTAATTCATACGAATTCTTACGCCTCACTTGTACGAATTCATGCGATTTGTGAAAAATCGTATGTATTTTACGAGCTGGCAAATTTGTAGGAACTCGTACGAAGGATCACATCTAACACCGCCCCCAAACTTAA